TTCTCTTAGTTTTCTTATTTGTCTTAGTTTTCTCTTAGTTTTCTTATTTGTTTCAGTTTTCTCTTATTTTTCTTATTTGTTTCAGTTTTCTCTTATTTTTCTTATTTGTCTTAGTTTTCTCGTATTTTTCTTATTTGTCTTATTTTTCTCTTATTTTTCTTATTTGTTTCAGTTTTCTCTTATTTTTCTTATTTGTCTTAGTTTTCTCGTATTTTTCTTATTTGTCTTATTTTTCTCTTATTTTTCTTATTTGTTTCAGTTTTCTCTTATTTTTCTTATTTGTCTTATTTTTCTCGTATTTTTCTTATATTTGTCTTATTTTTCTTATTTGTCTTAGTTTTCTCTTATTTTTCTTATTTGTCTTAGTTTTCTCTTATTTTTCTTATTTGTCTTATTTTTCTGTTATTTTTCTCTTATTTTTTTCTTAATTGTCTTATTTTTCTCTTATTTCTCTCTTATTTTTCTCTTAATTGTCTCATTTTTCTCTTATTTTTCTCACATCGTTGTGTAACGATTGCACCGTATAACGATAATTCCACCGCGGATCTTCGTGCAAAATAACAATTTTGCCGGCCATTTTCGCAACTGTGCCGTCGACAACGTTTATAACAATTCCGAACATTGTCCGCTAATTTTTTACAACACACTTTCGAAGATATTTCCCGCAGACTCGTCAGCCTTTCCATTGTTCCTAACGTAACAGCAATTTATCATGTTTAATTATCAAAAATTGAGTAAATAAGTGGACGATTTAAACACCCCGGGTCAAAACTAACCGAGAGATAGTCTCTCGCGAGAGTCGATAATTTTAGTACGACGATAGTATTACATCGAACAATAATACATACAAAATTTATAGAACAATGCAAAACGCTAAAACAGAGGCGTCCGTCGCGTGTACAGCAGAAAATAGTTCGCTGCGATTTAACCTTCGACAGGCAATTTGAGGGTCGCTGAGGTCGAAGATGGCCCCCTTACGGGGGGTATTTTGCACGTTCGCCAAATCGAAGAGCTTATTTTGTTGTCGAGAGATTTTCAGACGCGTCGGCGGCGGCGGAGCAATCGGCGCGGATGCAAATCCGGCGCGCGAATCATCGAAATTGCGAGCCGCTGGGAGCGCGATCAGCGGAAAAAGCGATCGCGGGGTGGCAGGGGGTGGAGGATAGACCGGCGGAAAAAAATGTATCGCGTGTAAAGGGAACCGGCTGTTCGCGGCGCTCGGACAATTTCCATTTCCGGCGCGAGCAGATTTCGCTCGGAAAATAATCGGTCGATGGTTCTCGCGCGCGAGCTGAGAGAGGGAGAGATCCTCCGCTCGCTCCTTTGTCTCGCGGAAAGAATTTAATACCGGCGGCATTAGCATAAAGAAACGAAGGGAAGAGGAACGAGGCCGAGCCCAGCGCGAGGCATTAACGGGCGCGAGCAACAATTAGTCGCGGATCCGTGTGCCGCTCCTCCCCCCGTCTGTAATTATTCTCATAACTCGATACCGGTGATAACGGTGCGCCTCTCCTCCGCTCCGTGGCTGCTTCCCACCACCAGGGCTCGGTTCTTTGTCTTTTAAAATCGGTCCCGTTAAGAACCGCGCCGCGCCGCACCGTGCCGGATCGAATCGTCGTCCCTCGCGAATCACGGCGCCGCGCGTCCCGCGCGTTTTTGCGTATTAAAACCGTCTCCGGTGGCGCGTGTAATTCGTTCGGACGCGATTCGCGACGCTCGGACAGCTGACTCGTGATTGCCGATCACGATCGCCTCGCCGGATTGCATTTTTTATCTTTTTTTTCCGTTCCCCGGAGAACAATGTTTAGTCGCGGATCCAGCGAGTCCGATCTCGCGGTGGGAAGAAGCGGCGAACGGTGCGGTTATTGTTCGTCGTTCGCGAAAAAATTGTACACCGGCGGATTCCGCGAAGCGTGCCGAGTCGAAAACGCGGGGCAACATTTTCTCGCGGGAGGCTCCGTTCCCGAGGAAAATGCGATCGAAAGCGATCGGAACGCGAGCCAGTTTTCGGGCAAATGGAAACGGCGTGCTATGGTCAGACGCGCGTTCGCATTTTCGGGGGCGATTATCTCGCAGCCTCGGATGCAAAAATGTTATCTCACCGGTTCGACCAAGTTCTCCATTGTGGAATTCTGTTGTACAGACGTCGATTTTTTTCATAGTACTTGTCGATAACGCTGTTACGAAATTCCAGAGCGACCAGTGAAGATGATACTCGATTTCAAGCGAAAAGATTCAAGCGCGAAGATCAGCCGACGAAACTGCCCTGTCATCCGTTTCTGGGTATTATCGTAATATCGTATTTTCGATGTTACGAAGACCCTGAAACTTTTCCGTCGATCGCCGCAATTATTAATCGCTTCTGTGTGACGTGCGCCGCGCGGCGAAACTGACTTTTTGTCGGCGCGGGTGAAACAAGCTTGTCGAAAATCAATAGTCCCGTGTCCTGACTGCGGATCTTTATGCAAATGAATGTTTCTAGGCGGCCATTAATACGACCAGCATCTACATAGAAGCTTACTACCTCGCTAAACGTTATGGTTATGTTTCGAATATTAAATCCTTGTTTAACCCTGTTCGAATTTTTATTTCCCCGGCAGCCGAGTAATTTATTCATTGCCCGGCTCCTCTCGACTTGTTCGGGCAAATATAAACCGTTGCATATTAATCCGGCGAGCCTCGCGGATCGCTGGAAAAATTACGCGACCCTGTCGAGGACTCGCAGATTGTTCGTTTCACACGACGCCAGAATCGTCTTTCTAATATTTCGTTTATTCGTTAATCATTGAAACGCGTATTTTATATAATATACAGGGTGTCCCAAAAATGTCTCGCAATCCGGAAATAACGGGTTCCTCGGATCATTTGAAGCAACTTCTTCCTTTGCAAAAATTTTCCCCGAGGCACCGTTAACGAGTTATTAACGAAAAACAGTGACCAATAAGAATCGAGTACGGCTGACGCGAGACGGCCCAGCCAACCAGCGCACGAAGCCCAGTTCCGCTCATTGGCTCGGTCGCCTCGCGCCAGTTCAGCTCGCCTCTCATTGGTCACTGTTTTTCGTTAATAACTCGTTAACGGTGCCTCGGAGAAAATTTTTGTAAAGGAAAAGGTTGCTTCAAATGACCCGAGGAACCCGCCACTTTCGGATTGCGAGACATTTTTGTTTCGAATAAATATTTGTCTGAAATAATTATTCGAACTGCTCCGAACAAACATTTGTCTGAAATAATTAATCGAACTGTTTCGAACGAATGTTTGTCTGAAATAATTCATCGAACCGTGTCGAATAAACATTTATCTGAAATAATGAACCGGACTGCTTCGAATAAATATTTGTCCGAAATAATTACTCGAACTGTCCCGAATAAATACTTACCTAAAGTAAATTATTCGAGCGAATTCTAGTTAGTCGGATATTTTGTTCGATTCTCGCGACTTCTTTCGCAGCCAACAGCTGCAGTTTGAAAAAGAAGTTAATCGTAAAAATCAACACGGTTAAATACAATCGAATCGATTATTTTCCAAATTGGTTCGTGTGTACGAATAAATTCTTGTTCGAGCAACGAATAACATATTCGATGGAATTTTTATCCGATCGGATATTTATTCGCTAATATCGAATACAATTTTATTCGTCGATCTCTTTATTAAATAAACGAATGAAATTTCGCTCGACTCTGGGCTACGGGAATCCGCGCGTGTGTTGTTCGACACGTTACTTTCGACTTACCAAAATTATTAAATAAAAAAAGGCGTTCCCGAGTGGCTTTTGTTCCTGCAACAGTTGCATTTTGCGTAAAATCTCTCGGTAACATTTCGTACATTTTTCCTCGTTCCGCACAGTATCCGTAATTTTTGCGTTCCGCGTCCGAAAAATCGTCGAATGGAAACTCTCGCTTGCTGCGAACTCGTTGATATGTGGAACGAAATCGTTCCGAGCGAAAGGGCTAAGAATCACGCTCGCACAATCGCATTCTTCGCCGGCGAGACTTCCGAATATAGTTCGGGATCCAGTTCGCTCGTACGTAGGCACAGGTTGAATCCAGCCAGCGCGCAGAGTTCCAGCCCGCGTTGCTCGCACGGAGGCGTCTAACGACCCGCGTTGAACACGCCGAGTAGAGCCAAACCGTGCCGGAACGTACTGAAACACGCACCGCGCCAGTTTTATGCGGTGCCTCCGCGGCAAATATTAGGGAACCGTGGCGGCAACGGTCGAACAGTTTTTTTCGGTGCTTCTACCGCCCGCGTAACACCATTTTCGTCACATTTTTAACGACCGTTCTACACCTGGATCTCTAGAGATGTACCATCATTTAAATTTGTAATCGAATTTCATTAGCACCGTGGCGGTACTCGTATTTAAAATCAATCGAGTTTCCGATAAAAATCGATTATTCATATATTAATAAATATTGAATAATCCACTGAATATTATTACCATCTTATCGTTTGTTAATCGCACGATGCCTCTGTTAAAACCGTTGATGTATGAATTCGACGAAATTCTACGGCCTCGAAAATATATTTGTATGTCAGTTATAATTTGTGCGAGCTTAAAAAAAATTTTTATATAGATAATATAGATAATACTATTATAATAATATAATAATAACAATATAATAAAAAATAATATAATATATAATTATTTAATTTAATTAATAATAATATAATATATATATAAAAATAATATAATAATATAATTATATACTATGTATAATCTATATTATATAAATATATAGATTATAATATTTATATATGTAAATGTAGATATTAGAAATATTGGTAGTATAGATTAGAAATTGATCTGATTTTTCGCAATTTGAAGCAGTCGAACGATTAAAAGAATTGAAGATTATCGAAGTATCACCCTCGATTTATCGAAATTGTTAAAGTAAAGGAAGAATGGAAGCGTAATGACGATACGATTTTCTCGACGAAGTTGCTTTTATTAGAATTCATAGGAACTATGCGCTAACGATGAGGCATTTTTGTTGCAGACAATGGACATTGCGTTTGATTCGAGACAAGGGCCTGTTCAGCAGCGACGCGACGTTCGAGAGCACCGGAGGGCCCATCCCCTTCGACACGTCGCATTCCTACGTGGGCACCGTGTTGGGTAAGCTTGCGCACCCTTTTGCAACATTATTTTATCATTTCTCTCTCTCTCTCTCTCTCTCTCTCTCTCTCTCTCTCTGTCGATAATTTCTCAGTACACAAACCAGACGATGGAAACTTGTTAAAATGATTTAAAATAGAAAAGAAATTGCACTCGGCCGCTACGATCGACGCGGACATTCATTGTTCCGCATGAAGATCCGCGCCGTTCTGTCGATAACAGGCGATTAAGCCACGAACGATCGAATCCAACGGAAAAAACGAGAACCGAGCGGATTTTCGCGGGAAGACCGGCATCGGGGCGAAATTCTTCTCGAGAATAATTTGGGCGGCAAACGGGCAATTTGCCGCGATTATCAAAAAAACAATTACCCGTCCGCGGAAGCATCTCCGCGCGGGTTTAATCCCCCGCCGCGTCGGCTCGTCCGTCCCGTTCAATTTAATCTATCCGGCGGGCACAAAGAGAGGCCGATCTCGATTTTTCCGGGGGAATGCCGGGGTAAAAAGAGCGGCGGGCACCGCGGGAACCGAGCGAAAAATAGGGAAAATGATCCCCGGCCGCGGGGGTAATTTCTGCGGCGAGGGGTCGCGCGGCGCGACGCGGCGTATCGAGTTCCCGGATCGACTTTTTCCGGCGCCGAGAGTCGTACAATAAACGCGAAGCCGGAGCGTCGACGAGGGGAAACGCGTATTCACCGCGCGGGCTTTCAAAGGATCCGGCTTCAAACGAACCGCCGCGCCGGCTGTCGAGTTTTCCAACGACCGATCAAACCCGGCGTGAATTTTCGGACGGCGCGCACGGAATTTCGCATTCGAGAACGAGCTCTCGAAAACGCGCTCTCTCGGTGCGCGCGGCGATGCTTTGCGGAGTCGAACACGCGACCGACCCGTCAACTGCAAATGGAATCCGAGATGAGGGCCGAACAGGCGGGTTCCTTCGGCCGGAATCGCGACTCTCCTCTTCTCTCCCGGATTCCCCCGGGAAAGGGTCGGGGCCGGTAATCCTCGCCGGTGGCCGCCGTTCGACCCGGGAATCTCATTTCGATCGTCGTACGCGAGCAGCACCCCGGTCGTTTGGAAGCCGGCCAGACACCCTATGAAAAGGTGTAGCTTTGCCGCAGGTCGGGACCCGCGATGTACACGCTCGATATACACGGCGGGCCCCGTCCCCTCGAACTACGCCCACGTGCCACGATTTTACGGAATTTTTATTACAATAGAGTTTTAATTAGTGGACACAGGTTCGCTGGAAATTGGCTGAAATATTGACGGTGTTCGCGACGCCCGCGGCTTTGTGCGCGAAAATCGGAGAGCGCCGCTTCTCGCCGCGTTTCAAAGGACGAAGCTTCCGCTCTCTGGAATCTCCGAGATTTTTTTTTTACAATATATTGTTTTATTGGCAAACGCCGGGGAAAAATGATCGATAGGCCCCCCTCCAACAAATTCGCGTTCGAGCATCTCTGCGGAGTGTCGGAAATTTTTTTTCGGGACTCGAACCAGTATGGAATCAAAGATTAAAGTGTCCCCTTTGCAACGGTACCTCAAAAATTGGTCTACGATTTTTTGTCGCCGTTTTGTCGCGGCTCAAACCAAGAGGAACATGGTGCACCCTTTCTGCACCCTCGCAAACCGTTTCGAATTCACAGGTCTCTAGCGACCTTGATAAATTTTTTTCGCGACTCCAGCCAATTTAGAATGAAAGATTAGAGTCTTCCCTTTGTAACAATATCTTAAAAATCGATCTACGATTTTTTCTCGCCATTTTGTCGCAACTCAAACCAAGAGGAACATGATGCATCTTTTTCGCACCCTCGCAAACCGTTTCAAGCTTTAAAAGTCTCTTAGCGACTTCGATAAATTTTTTTCGCGACTCCCGCCGATTTATAACGAAAGATTAGAGTCTTCCCTTTGCAACAATATCTTAAAAATCGATCCACGATTTTTTCTCGCCATTCTGTCGCGGCTCAAACCAAGAGAATCACGATGCACCTTTTTCGCACCCTCGCAAACCGTTTTAAGCTTTAAAAGTCTCTTAGCGACTTCGATAAATTTTTTCACGACTCCCGCCGATTTAAAATGAAAGATTAGAGTCTCCCCTTCGCAACGACACCTCAAAAATCGATGCACGACCTTTTCTCGCGACTGTGTCGCGATCGAAGTAAACCGCCAATGTCGAGAGAAAAATCGTGCATGCCCTATGCACTTCCGCGAAGTTCGGATAACAATGGAGATATTTCAAAGCGACACACCCAGTACACGCGGTTACGTTCACGTGTCACCCCCTCGTTTTTCCGGCGCGCTGGCATGATATTCACCACGCCGAGTCGCGGGGGTTGGTGCTGCTGGCTTCGAAATTGCGAATACCTTCGACGTCTGCGATGCCTCCATTCTTCCACTCCCCGCTGCCCCGCCCGCCGAAAACGTTATTGTTGTTATTGGACTGGGGATGTTTGCGTTTATAGCATCCCCTAATATCGGCGAGCACCACGTTATAACTCGGATCGTTTGTCTTGGCCTAGCTATCGCGCATCCCTTAGCATTAGTCATCGGAATAACTGGCTGGCGAACGCGATACGTTGCTCTCTGAGTCATCCGCCCCCGCCTTTACGATTCTGAAACGTGTACGGCCGTGTGGAAACCCAACAATAGAGAGAACAGCGAACCGGTAAACTACTGAAAATCATTTTTAGGATCCTCGATTGCCCGGCGTTATTTCAACAATCGCTTGAAAACAGATTACACACTGTTAAAACGATTGTTAGTTGACTCTTGACAATTTAATGGGAGAGCAGCTTTTTCAAGGATGTATCGTTATCATATTTTCAACGAAATTGATCATATTTATAGTATGGATAAAATGCATCATAATTGCGTTATTGAAAAATTGCATCATAATTAAACCAGTAACACTTTTGACCGCCGCGTCACCCATACAGTTTCGTATCGCGATCGACAGTTTCATCTAAAATTTAATTTTTAGAGATTAATTTAATACATAATTATGATATATTTATAATTTAGAATTATAGTTTCTCAATTTGATAAAAATTCGCAAGAGGCAAAAACGTTGTAAAAGCGATCGACGTTGCATCATAGCCTTCGACTTGCGATTCCCATTTAATTGAACAAAATATTTCAATTTTACGATATTTTTCGACGGGCCCGTCAATTTACGTTGCATATTGTTCGTCGTATGTCCGGCACCGTTTTCAAAACAGAGAAGCCATTAACCGCGGGAGCCGGAAAATTTGATTTCGCCGCGGCTCTTCCGACGTCGGCCAAGCGAATTCCAGATCGAAAGGTTAATTTAATGGCGGCCCAATAAATTGAATAAACATCGAGCTTGCCGGGCTATTCAAAAGCGAACAGCCGCGACAACGAATTCCGGCGGTCCAATTACCATTTAAAAATTCCGATACGGCTCGTCATCGCGGCTCGGCAACCGGAAGTCCCTTTTCACCCTTGTAACCCTGTTACACCCCGCAGAGCCGAAAGCCTTTCGCGGCTGGTTACAGGCTCGCCGGCGAGATTCGCGGGAATTCACTGAAACCGAATTGTTATCCGAAACGCGCTTATGCTACTTGCGCGCGTCTCGTCCCGTGTCTCGTCCCAGCAAATTTATTCCATTATCGTTCCCGTGGAAGCGAGCGAACGACGCCGCCACCGCCGCCGTCGCTGTTTTCGGAGCGATAACGACTAAAAATAATCGAGAGTTGTCGAGCTCGCGGAAAAAACCGGCAACGCGAACGGCCGGAAATTTCGTTAGACGGGGCTCGACGTTATGGCCGCACCACGTTCCGCGCGGAAGAATATGGCAGCGCCGAGATATCTGATTCCACGGGAACCGGCCGAGTAAGCGAATTCCTATTTTATACGACGTATCGGGCGTAACTGGTCGACCGTAACAAACGGAGAGATGATTCTACTGGGGGAAAACTGAATCGAAAACGAGAAACAATGTTTGCGCCCGCGGAACGCTCCGTTTCCGCGATAATCGAGCCCGAGGGTGGATCGACGGGGCTGATCAGTGCCGGCCGTTTCTACTTCCAGGAAACTCGATCTTCCCGAGTTAATTAACCCCGGAACGAAATCGCCGGGAATCGTGTCGTTTATTTTTAACCACGGCTCGCCTCGTGCGAACGCGCGCGAAATTTGTTTAAAATTACGACGTTCCGATAGAAGGGTCGATTGAATTAAGACAGACGGCGTTTAGCGTTAAATTGGGAAGATGTTCGTATCGATCTTGTGTTACGGTATCGCACAGCTCGATGTTTCAGCTGTCCGACGAAATTATTCGTTGTTCGAAAGTTTTTTCCTATGATTTTTAAGGATTCTGATTTTCAAGCAGAATCGATTCGTCGCGTCGAATCGGGAAGACGTTTCCGTATCGATCCCGCGCGCGAGACGAATGTCGAGCACGATGTTGAATATATAACCGACGAACTAGTTAGGAACGAAAGTAATAATACGGCTTTGAGAGCGTCGGCTGTGAAACACACGGCTCTACCAAAGAGAGTCGGCCGGCTGGAGGGGTGTGTACTTGATGGAAATTTCGTGCACGTGATTCGGGCGCCGCGCGAATAGAATTCCCGAGCCGCGGACGGTTCGGAACCGTCTGAAACTTGATCGCGAATAACGTCGGAACGACGACGGACGGTTCCGACGTGTTTCTCCGGGAGAAACGTCGTTATTGCCTTAATAACGAGCGAGCCGGAGCCGGCCGCGGCGCGGCGCGGCGCACCTTCCTGGAATTTCATGCCGCGCGGAACTTGTTGAATCCCGCGTTCCACCGTTTCCGCTCGCGATTAACTCGTAACGCGTGGGCGAGGATCCTTCTGCCGGGTGGTCCGCGGAGTCTATAAACTCCGGGATACCCGGCCGAAGATCCTCGGAGGGCCTTCCAGCGGGGAGAGGACCGCTCAGGACTCACCGATAGAATAACGAGTCGGGAATGTTTACGATACATTTAGAGATCGCTTGGATAGCAGTCCTTATCCCTTC